GGAGTCCAATCTTTTCCTAAGGTTAAAACGGGAAATTATCAGTTCACACTTCCCGTATTTCACTTGCGCGAGTTTAACTGAATAGTGTATTCGAGTTTGTAATTTCAGTTAAAAGCCAAGTATTTCAATTTCTAAGAAACAATCCAAGGGGTGAATGTAAAATTAGTAAAACAATGCAATAAAAGTTTTTTAAAGTAACCGATGGTAGAAGTCTTCCTTTAAGCTTTAGATCCACACGGAATGGAAGCTCTATGAAAAAGTTTGGAGTCACGTGATTCATCATTTTATTGGACAAATCAACAGTAATAAAGGACGGTTTGATAGGAAGTCCATTAAACGAGACGAACTTTCTTTTCGAATTCACCGTCCCCATTTTTCGCTTCTATGTGTTCGAAAACCCGCGCCTTGGCTATTTTCAGGAGCCAGAGGAAACTCATTTAGAGTTGGCGTCTTTTGATTCCGCACTTCCTGGTGATTTCCCTTTTACATGTTTCAACTGGTACCGAAACAGTCCTTCGAAAGTGCATCAAGACAATAATGAGCTCTGGAAATTACGAAAAAGAGGGGGATTGTTTTGGCCGATTGCGAGAGAGAAAACTGAGTTGATTAGCCTGCATTCAACTGCTTTTTTTACCATTTTTACGCAATTTAGTTGCAAAAAGCGACTTTATAAAAACTAAAATTAGCTCTAAAAATTGCGAAAAAACTTTTCTTAAAAACATATTTTAAGAAATTTTTAAAAACGTTAAAAATACGACGGCGTTTCGACGTTTTCGAACGTTTTTGACTACGAAGTACCTCTGCTAGACAAACTCACTTTATAATACTACAGAGAGGAAACTACTGTTTGCTGAAAACTAGAGCTAGACGAATAACTAAATGCTTCAGAAATGACAAACATGCTTTAGCCTGCGAGCAAGCTCTCCATTTGGGAGAGTCACGAGACGTCACGCGAGAGCTGAAAGGAGACGCGGGTCCAAAAGGAGGGGGAAAGAAAAGACCTCAAGACAACAACTGTTGTTGACCCCTTATATTTATTAAGCTCCCTTTCTTAAAAAAAAAATTGAAAACGTTGAACTCTTTCGAGAGTTTCTAAATTACAAAATGGCAGGCACCAGCTGTTATATATTTCTTTCAGTTTTTTTCGTTATTTTGGGTTGTGCACAGGTTTTGCTTTGGCGACTCTCGATTGCCCTCGAACAAATGTTACTTTAGGCCAATGATGTCCAGTAAGCCACCCAGCAAGCCCAGGGTGGAGTTGATTTTTTACAGTGGTCTACAGTTTTTTTGGATTCTCTTCTTCGAGTTTCACATTTCTCTACCTGGGAAGGCTTCATTGGTTTCCACCTCTAGGGCAGTCCTATTTCTACGAGCCTGGCGTGTTTACTTTCCGTTACGTTGGAGATCGAATTTCGTGGAAAACGTGGTGTTGGAATGAGAACGATGAGGGCTGAGAGGTCATCTCGTGCCTCCTCCTATCTTGTGTATTATATTGTATGGAGGGTGAATTTGAGCAAATTATCCCGAAACAAGGACAACAACAAGTAACTCCAGAGTAAGTGTCATTGACTTTTATTTGGTATTTCCTACAAATTTTAAGATCGTATTTTTACCCCATACAAACACTGTAATTTAACTGGATTCGTACTTTGGTACGATCAAAGAGCCTGGGTTACCTGTGGTATTTCATTGCTGTTTATATTATAAAATACAGTTTTTCATGCGCGCGGCTCTAATTCTTGTTCCGTTATTATGTTGTACCTTTTTGAAAAACTTTGCCACTACAAGTCGGTAAAATGCGGAATACAGTCTGAGTTATGCACATTGCAAATTTTATATTACGCAAAAGTTCAGATGAGATAAAGATCTGGGCACAGTTCGCCATAAAAGACGTTATTCACCGATTACTGCAATAATTTTGCCAGATGGAATATTATTTGGATATAAACTGAGAGGCTGGTAAATTCTAGACTATAAACAGTAGTATTCAGATACTAAACATTCTATTCTAACCTTTTCCAGGCGTTCAGAAAGTGGGGGCAGCGCCGAAGAAAAGTAAACAGGAAAAAAACAAAAACAAAACAGCGGTGGGGTGACAGCCTTGTTCTTCATTTCTCGCCCCTCTTCCTCTCCACTATCTGAAGGGGCTACGCCCATGGTGACCATGACTTTTGTTAAAGGGAGCGTTTAATAGGGAGCTGCGATAACGTCACTCAGAAAATGAATTCGCGCTGTTTTAAACTTCATCGCACTTATTCCACCTCGTTCAATTCGACAAATGTTGGCGACTTTTTCAGAAGTTGAATTCTAAAAGACTGTTCCGAAGTTCAGGAAAAGAAAAAGAAAGTCCTTGTCTCGTGTTCACCGATCCTTAACAAGACGTGTAGGTTTTTAAAACGTCGCAGTCGTGCGACGAAGGAAACGAAATGTACAAAAAGCGTGATGAACGTGTGAAGTTGTTGTTTTGCTGATCTACAGGCTTGTTTTCATGGACCCTAGGTAGATGGTGTAACCCGATTAAGAGGTGTAAAAAATAACCCGCGTTAACAACCCCGTCATCCCCCCCCCCCCCCCCCCCAAAAAAAAAAAACACCAACTCACTAAAACCCTCTCCTTCTTTTTTTTTAATCTTATTTTTTTATACTATACTCTCTAATACTCCAAAACCACCTCACTCCTCCATACGACAACCCACCACCCCACCCCCCCCCCACCCCCTCTAATTT